CTGTCAAATTGCTACATCCTTATTCACTCTTACCTCCCATATCTGCCATCTCCTTATACCTTCCTCTTCCATTTCATAATAAAGGGAAAATTAAAATTAACAAGTCATAAGTTATCATTATTATTACATACAAGCACCATTATTACGTTCAAAATGTTACTAGTCAAATTAGTTAACTTTCAGCCATATCAGCCTCACATAACAGAATGTTTACTTTGTCTGGTTTTGTTGCAGCATGCCCCATATTAATATACTATGTGTTTTTTAAAATGGCATAATCTTTGAATAAAAGACCCTGATTGATGATAAAATGGAGAATATTATTGATGTTACTGATAATTTCATTATGAAAAATACTTTCATTATACTCCTCTTCTTCTTCATTTATCATTATCTAATTTGTGTGCTTCTACATATTAATATTGTAAGTTTAAAAATTTTGCTTTACCATTATTCCCTTTTATTTAACACTTTCTAAAAGACTTCTATGTTATTGCTGTCAGGAAATTAATAATTTTGCCATACCAATACTAATGTAATGCAGAAAACTAGATATCATTTATAGATAAAAAAACCATTGCAACATTACAGTTCTTTATTAAATCTTGTTTGTACAAGTTATAATTATAAAGGACAAAACACTTTGCCTTATAGCTTCTTGCTTCCCTTTTGTGTTGATTGACTTGTTTTCTGTTGCATGGCTTGCTTCTTACTTTCTTTTTGTGGTGATTGACCTGTTTGAGTAATTTCATTAAATTTTCTTTTCAAAATCTGAATTTTGTCATTATCAGTATCACAATCTATTTCTGTCGAATGGTTTACTTCCATTTTCATAACCATCTACAATGTGATCAATTCAGAATTAGTTGACTAAAACTAATAAAAATACATACAATAAACTAACCATAAATTCCAGTAACTTTAGTATGCCTGCCTTCATTGTATAAATTTTGTTCCAGTGTGAAGCAATGGTGAGACTTCCGAACTCTTCATACACATATATGCCATCTTTCCACATTATTAGCATTTTCATTTCAAACAAATATCCTAACACACCAAATACAGCACGATCACTGTAACTATCATCCCCTTTCTCCATTGCATGTAGGATACGGACATTTAGGCAGTCTCTCAGTTCTCTGTACAATTTGAAAGAATCCATGGCAAATTTTGTAAGATCAGGCTCAGTTGGAGGACCTGCTTGTTCTCCAATAAAAAATTCCTCTCCTGTTTCCCAGGACCATGCTAATAGATCAGCATATTTGCCTTCAACCACTTTTTGCACTGCAAGGTCAAGCCCATAGTTTTTTCTGTATTTGGAGGCAAATACTGGAACTTCCATGCTAGAAAGAAAAAAAATAATTAAGTTTTAATAAGATGAAATTGAATGACAGGAGCAGCATTTCTATCAAAATCAACACTTACACCCGCCAATCTAGGCCTACAAAGTCCTGTAAAGCCTTGGAGAAGAATCGATGTCCAAATTCTGACCAATAGTGATGTTCACTAGTGTTTGGAGAACTAATATCTGGGATTGGTTTAAGGAATGATTCAATTCTATAACACAAGATGACAGTGAAATATTTAATCACAGCATTAAGGAATAAATACATCTAAGTACTTTCAAATTCCCAATACTTACAAAGGTGACATCACTCTATACAGGTACCTTTTGATCCTCGTTACATCCTCTGTATCTCCATCCTTGCCTTTCACTAGTGAATCAGTTATATGAACCCAATCAGCGAGGATTTTCTTTCGCCCGCCTTTGGTAACTGAATCCTGCAAGTATGAACATAATCATATCAATAGATAATATTTTGCAATCATTAACACACAATATGCGCCGCAGGCTTACCATAAAATATTCGTCTACAACTTCACGCCAACATTCTGGTACTACGGCTTTCCTTTTTGGTCGTACAGAAAGTAATTTTGCGTATTGGCTGACTGTTAAAAATCGTGCAAAACCACTGTCACCTCGGATATCCATAACATCATCATTGGTGCAACTATACATTGAGAACACATCAGCTCAGTAGGAAATCTTCACGATAGTACTGGGTGCATATCTTCCTTAAATCACAAGTTCAATGCTTACGAGTACACGTTGGATCTTTGCTGTTCCTTGTATCGTTCAAAAAGTGGGACGAATTCTTGGAAATACTTTGGTGCGAAAGATTGAGTATTTGAAATGTGCATGTAATAGGAAATTCGGGCAATGTCTTCAAAGAAATACCTTAACATCATCGAGGCGTGTCAGATTCTCAGCAGCGGCTTTAAGAACATCCTCATCGATCGAGGTTTGATTACGTGGTGTTCGGATACCGTCTATGTGCAAATGTTATAGGATCAGACAGTCAAACGAGCAGTGACAAAGGATTCTTTCTTACCTTCCTCCACAACGTTTGTAACTTGTCGCTTGCTGTCGATGGGGAGTTCTGACACAAGTTTATGCTCAATCTTTCTTGAACTCACGTTTCCCGATATTTCAAGCAAATTCAAACTCTCGTACTCGTACGAGTTCTTAACGATGAGCTATTGCAACAATTTCAAACATAACGTTCAGTAAACTAACGCTTTTGACCAATATTGTTATCACACTATCGACCTGCTTGCGTTCAGTAATAATCGGCTCCCAAAATAGGCGGCGGTTGTCGCTGAGGTTCGTTTTGATCTCATATTACATGACAACAATAGTTAGTCCAGCGATCATATAGAATTGCATCGAGCTATATCTCTAGCAAACTAAAAGCAGAGCGGGTCGCGAATGGTGTGGACCGGGCAAATTACCTATACTCCGACTTCAGGTAATACCTGGCAGGAGCGTCCACTACCACCACTCGGGCTATGAAATTACATATACTCCGGATTCAGGTAATACCTGTCAGGAGGTGCCCTTCCGCGCCTAAAGATGGAAGATTTACCTGCTCATATGTTTCTTTTGACGCCAATTGCTCAACTCTTTTTAGGAAGCGACTCGCCCATGCACCATCTAGTCCTCTCCAATCGTCCGTATATGGTGGTGAGTTGACAATGGTGTTCCTTTTCGCGAGGAGAAAGTATTTGGGGGGAATTCTGCGAAATAGGTATCCAGAGCTAACAAAAAAAACGGAGCATGGCTTAATATCGATGGGATAACAGACAGCCTACGGTGAAGTGTAGCTTTACTTACCATCACTACCAGGAAAAAATGGATTCGAAGTCGTCATGATAGAAGAGCTAAAGGAATTTCGCTCGAAACACGTTCAAAATATAAAAGTGGGCAGTCACGTGATTGGCGTATGGAGCATGACAATCGCTAGATGGATCACGTTGATATGGTGCACCAACTCTATACTCGACAATAAAACCACCTGTCTTTAAAATTTTCAGCTCAACGTAGAGGCGTCTTTTTGGAAAGTCTGCCAGTAATTATGTTTATCGCGACATGCTTTACAAAATT